GAGCAGAGCTTAAACTATGATATTGTTAAAGCTACTGTGCTAAGGGCTTATGAGCTTGTGCCCGAGGCTTATAGGCAAAAATTTAGATCATGTGTGAAAAGTGAAAACCAGACCTATGTCGAGTTCGCTCGAGATAAAGGGGCTCTTTTTGATAAGTGGTGTCAGTCCAGTAGAGTTGATGATTTTGCCAAGCTGCGTGAGCTGGTGCTGCTGGAGGATTTTAAAAAGTGCCTACCTGAGCGCATGGTCATCTATCTAAATGAACAGAAGGTTGCGTCTCTGGCTGAGGCAGCAGTCCTGTCTGATGAGTTTGTGCTCAATCATAAAAGTGTGTTCATGTCCTCTGTGCGCCGTGATCCGCCCGTTCGTGTTGAAAATAAACGGAGATCCCCAAGATTGTCCCGGCGTGGCGAAACTGCCAACGGTGAAAACCGGCTGTGTTTTTATTGCCACCAGTCCGGTCACTTCATCGCCGTCTGCCCAGTGTTGAAACAGAAAGAGCAGGCTAAAATTAAAAGTCCATCACCAGTGGCACTGATCCAGTCACAAACAGTGTTTCAGCAACAAGAACGGCCGACTGATCAGCTGCCTAAAGAGATAGATGCTGACTTTAAACCATTTGTGACACAAGGTTTCGTGTCTTTGTCTGGGTGTGAGGCAGACAGAGTCCCGATAACTATTTTAAGGGACACTGCGGCAAAACATTCTGTGGCTCAACGTGGAGTCGTGCCGTTTTCTCACATGTCATATTGTGGGTCTGATTTGTTGTTGTGGGGATTAAAAATGAGTGTGATTCGTGTGCCGCTTCATAACATCCATCTCTTCTCCCCCTTAGTGTCTGGCCCGGTGCGGGTTGGCGTGCGCGATCAGCTGCCGATTGCAGGGGTCGACCTCATCCTCGGGAATGATTTGGCAGGAGGTAAAGTGTTCCCCAGCAGTCCTGAGGTGACGGACGATCCCGCTGCTGATGTGTGCGTCTGCCCTGCTGAGCCTGACATACAGCCTGTGTTCCCCTCGTGCGTCGTGACGCGTGCCCAAGCGCGTAAGTTTGAAGAAGTGACGGATCTGTCTGATTCATTTTTGAGTGTTCCAGATAGCACAGTTCCCTCTCCAGAAAATGAAAGTGTTCCTGTGTCTGTTGATGTGCAGCTGGAAGAGAATTTGTGTTTATCTGTTAGTAAAGAGGAGCTAATTAAGGCGCAGCAAGCCGATGGCACGCTGGTGGATTGTCTCTCCGCTGCACAAAATAAAGAAAAAACAAAACTTGTCTCTTACCTGTTTGATGATGGTGTTTTGATGAGAAGATGGTCCCCGACGAATGGTGTTGGAAAGCGTAAGTCCCGTGTGTGTCACGTGAATATGTTAACAAAAAATGCCGCTCGTGAAAATGATGACGTGCAATTCGTTGAGCCTGTAGCCTGTGTGGCACCTGTGGTGTCCCCCTCATACAGTGCGGAGGAGGACGGGCTGCGTGAGCAGCCAAGCTCAATTCAGTGTTTTCGCTTGGAAAATTCTAGAATCTTGGAAAATCGCGAGGAGCATCTGTCGTATCTGTCTAGCCCTGCAAAAAGCGTCATTTGCTGTCTCATTCGTAGCCACAAGCATCTTTTTTGTGACACGCCCAGTCGGTAGGTTGTTAAGGTGTGCCTCGTGTTGTGTTTAGGGTGCTATGGTAATTTTGATGTTTCGGTGATTCAAACATTTATTTAGAGAGAGGAAATGTTTGATCTTAGGTAGGGGGGTGTTATGACCTGGGGTCATATGTTTCCTGTTTCTTTTTTTCAGCAGCACATTTTGTTTGTGGGTAACCCTCCCTACCTGTGGTAGGTGCTGTTCCTGTGTGTGTTTTATTTTTCAGGAGAGGACTCTGGCCTGATTGGACAGCAGCTGAGGAGGGAAGCTGTTAAAAGGGTGACTGCTGGAGGAGCTCTCTCTCATTTCCTTTGTCTCAACTCCCAGCCAGACCTGTGTTTCGTGGAGGCTCTTTTGTGTTAAAATTGTGGAAAGCTTTGTGAATTTTGATTTGTCTTCATGACAAATAGTTTAAGTTGTTTTAAGAACAGTCTGGTAGGTAGGGGTGGGCAGCTATTTTATTTTACAAACTTTTTCTTGTGTTTTGGGTTAGGGAGGCAGGTAAGACCCCCTGTATTTTATTTACTACACTTTTGTTTGTGAGGTAAGACAGTTTTAAATAAGAGGTTTTGTTTGTTGTTTTGGCCTGTGCCCACCCTGAAGTTGACTACCATTTATGTTTAACAATAAATTAATTTAAGACTGCTAACTCTGGTTGATTGTTGGTTCTTGGGGAGTTGGGGCAAAGGAAGGAGCACTTTATGTTGCGTCCGGCATACCCCTAGGCTGGGTCGTAACATCATAACTTACAAGTTCCTCTAGTCTCTTCAGAGTGTAGTGGACTCCTTTGTTAAACACCTTTAGGTGTTTTGCTATTTCTCTTACTTTGTATCCTTCTTTCCTCAATGTAAAAATCTGTACTTTTGTTTATTCACTCAGTTGCTTCTTTCTAGCCATTTTTGTGGTAGTTTGAACACAGTTGAGATTTATTAGGATTTGTATGCACTCTCAAAAGCCAAAAAGTTGAAGTGAATAATCCAACTGTGATTTGTTTTTTTGCTTTTGCACTTAAGTTGTGACTCTTGCAAATGTTTTCAACCCTAAAACTAAGCCCTTATTATCTTCTGCTGACATATTTAACAATGGTCTGTTAACATCAATGTATATCTAAAGGTAAATGGAGTAAAATGGTGCATTTCCCATGAAAGCAATATCTGATCATGGAGTAAATATATCCCAAAATACAAATAACTCATGCTGGATTTTTATAAAAAGCATTGTGGACAAAAACTTGAAGTTACTCCCAACTGTTCGGCCTGTAATGGCCTTGCCTCCAAACTTTTGGCCTGTAGTGTATATCTATTTATTTATTCTGCAACTTCATCTTCATTACATGATCATCATTATCAATCATGATCACAATCATCATTATCAGCATCATCATTTTCATCATCATCATCACAATCATCACTATCATCACAATCATTAAAACAATCATCATTATCATCATCATAATCACAATCATCATCGTTATCATCACGACCATTATCATTGTCATCACCATCATCACAGTCATTATCATAATCACAATCATCATCTTCACAAGCTTTATCATCATCAAAATCATCAAAATCATTATCACATGCACAATCACGACCATCATCATTATCAGCATCATTTCCATCATCATCATCATCACAATCATCACTATCATCACAATCATTAAAACAATCATCATCATTATCATCATCATAATCACAATCATCATCATCATCGTTATCATCACGACCATTATCATTGTCATCACCATCATCACAGTCATTATCATAATCACAATCATCATCTTCACAAGCTTTATCATCATCAAAATCATTATCACATGCACAATCACGACCATCATCATCATCATCATCACAATCATTATCACAGTCATCAACATCATCACAAGGTTTATCATCATCACTATCATGATCACAATCACCATCATCATCAACATGATCATCATCATAATCACAACTATTATCATGGTCCTCACCATAATCGCAATCATTATCATAATCACAATCATCATCATCATCATCACAAGCTTTATAATCATTGTCATCACCATCACAATCATTAAAACATTTATCATCATCATCAGCATCATAACCATCGTTGTCATTATCATCATCACAATCATTATCACAATTATCATCATCATCATCATCATCATTAAAATCATTGTCATTACCATCATCACGATCCTTATCATAATCACAATCATCTCAAACTTTATCATCGTCATTATTAAAATTATCACCATGCATTATCACGATCATCATCATTATCACTGTCATCATCATCATCACAATCATTATCACAGTGATCATCATCATCACAAGGTTTATCATCATCACAATCATCGTCACAATCATCATCATCACCATGATTATAAAAAGGTAAAGACAGTCCTAACCTCTGGAAAGTCTGAAAATATATATATTATTAATTGTGGTGTATATGAAATTAAAGGTTACCAATGTCCAAGTGAGATAATTAGAGCTCTATTTACAGTCACAGTAATTAAAGTTACTAAGGCTGGCATAATCCTGGACTTTAAATGGGATTTTTAGTCTGAATATGTCTGGTTGTGTGTGTGTGTGTGTGTGTGTGTGTGTGTGTGTGTGTGTGTGTGTGTGTGTGTGCGCCACACGCATTTGTGTGTGTGTATGTATTTGTATGTGTGTGTGTTTATGTGTTTGTGTGTGAGTGTGTGTGTGTGTATGTGTGAATAAAATAGCCTACAGCTCCTCCAAGTCTTGAAATAGAGCTGCAGCTGTCTGACTGTGTCTGACTGTTTGACCTGCAGCCCCCCTTTAAAGGAGTTGCAGCTCCCTGTATTCATAGACCAAAGCTGACCACAGAAAATATCCATGGTAATAGAAGAAAAGGAAAAGTGTCATCTTATTCATGTAGAAAGGATCCTCAGGCTTTAAGAGCAGCTCTGTTTTCTATAATAATTAAATCACTTTTTTAGTTTGGCCATAAATGTTTTTCTATTTGACTTACAAAATATTTATTTTTAATACTTTATCATATAGTCCCTTCAAGACTGAAACGGATTGAATGAACAGTCTGTTCTTTAAGTCCATGTAACTTAACAAATTTTACATTTATTATCAAAAGAATTAATAGTGTAACTTGATTTAATACTAGTCGAAATATGAATAAACTGATTGAGCCGCTGAACTAAAAGTCACCTCTGAAACCTCAAAGTAAAATTATTTAACTATCATTTTAGTTTCTGCGCCCTCCTCGGCTCCAGTCTCTGTTCTTCTTTGAATCAGGTCAGCGGGTTAAGTTTCAGGCCTCCCCCTCCCTTACCTTTTTTCTCTCCCTCTCTCCCCCTCCTTCTTTCCTGTCTGCGGCTTTCTGTCTTCCTCTATCCCTTCTCTTTACAGACGGTCTGACCTCCTTGTCTTCATGGCTGATAAAAGTCGATCTGTGACAAGGAGGAAGGAGAAGAAAGAGAGGGAGTCAGCTGAAGCAATGAAAGAGGTGAAAAATGAAGGAGAGAAGAGTAAAAGGGAGAAGGACAGAGGAGAGAAGGATAAAGGAGAGGTGTCTTCTGAAGCCGAAGCCAGTAATGGACAGAATGGAGAACCTCAGGTGGAACCAATGGACCTTCCTCCATTTGAGATCATCGCTGGGTGAGTTTAAGTTGAACCTCCATCTTTTAATCATTAAAGGGTTAAAAAAAAATTATAAAACCTGCAGTTATCAAAAATAAAAAGAAATCTTAAAAAGAATATGTTCATTATTAAAAGCTTTATTCAGTGGAAGACAAAACAGTCAAATGTTAATATCAATAATATAAGCATTCGAACAAATCCATCACATATTTACTCAGATATGGAGATAACAGCTTCAAACTTTGTGGATCTAAGGAGGTGTAGAGCAGAAAAGATTTTTAATAAAAAACTGGTTAGGTGTTGAGACGTGGAGCCTAGTAACAGGGCGGATAATAGCATATTACAGGAGAATTGTTCACTTGCGGATAAAAGCACAGATGAATGAAAATTCAAGATGGCGGCCATTTTTCAAGATGGCCACCGTTGAAACTACAATAATATTGCATTTTGCAATAAAATCCCATAGACATGTCCTATTTGGATGATCTTGGTGTCAAATCATACATTTTCCACTATGCAGAATCCAAATTTGGACCCATGGACTTACTTACTGGCTTCCTTGTACCATATTTCAGTCCCAGAATCCTGATATTCTGGTATTTATGAGGTTTACATTATGTCCGACTTGGGTAAAATGGTTGGTAACATACAGTATATCTTAGTGTTGTTAGAGGTTTAGTGTGTGTGTGTGTGTGTGTGTGTGTGTGTGTGTGTGTGTGTGTGTGTGTGTGTGTGTGTGTGTGTGCGTGTGTGTGTGTGAGAGAGAGAGAGAGACTGAAAAAAATGTGTCTGAGTGTAAAAAAAATCCAAAAGAGAAAAACGCTTGACCTGCCTGCATTACATCTCACTTAATTACTAGGCAACACTTCTCACTCGCACATACACTTTCTTACAACATTACTATTAATCTGGCTGGGGTGGCACCATGCAGTCATGAAGAAGCTGACACCCAGATCTTTGTGCATGCCAGGCATGCCACAGAAGCAGGCAGCAAGGTCATCATGGTCAAAGCCAACGACACAGATGTTGTTGTCATCACAGTGAGTGTTCTGCAGGCACTTCAGAACCTCGGTCTGCAGCAGTTGTGGGTTGCCTTTGGCCAAAGACAGAACCTGAAGTGGATTCCTGTTCATGACCTGTGTGGCACTCTTGCAGAAAAGAGCAAAGGGATGCTCTTATTCCATGCATTCACTGGTTGCGATGTTGTTTCAGCATTCCGTGGCAAAGGGAAGAAGTCTGCTCGGCAAACCTGGAATGTTTGTGATGAGACTTCCAGTGTCTTCAGCAAACTCAGCCATTACCCACCTGTATTGGATGATGAAGACCTGAAAACCCGAGAGAAGTTTGTGGTCATGTTGTACGACAGATCCAGCACAGCTGAAGGTGTCGACGATGCAAGGTTGGACATGTTTGCTCGGAAGCAGAGGCCGTACGAAGCCACTCCTCCAACTCGATCAGCACTTAAGCAATATGTCATGCGTGCATCCTACCAAGTGGGCTGCATCTGGAGTCAGTCAATAGTATGTCAACCAGAAACACATAGTCCTGCCGACTGGGGCTGGAACAAGAAAGGAGATCTGTGGCAGATTGTTTGGACAGAGCTCCCACCCATTGCAGAGAGTTGCCAGCAGCTGGCCAAGTGTGAATGCAAGTTGGAATGCTGCGGTCGATGCAAATGCTACTGCTTTGGTCTGACCTGCACAGCACTGTGCAGCTGCAGGTGTGAGGTTTAGAAATGCTGTAGTAAAAGCCTACTCATCCAAACAGCCTACATGTAAAAAAAAAAAAACCTGCCTCGGTGGGATCACCACCTTATGGTGGTGGGGCACTTTGTGTGTCTCCATGACCCCTAGAGCTATGCCGGTTGGAGTATTGTACTCCTGGCAGGGTCACCCACGCCAAACAGCTCAAAGGATAGAGACCAGACAAAGAGTGATCCCATGGTGCTACCATGCATTTTCGGTGAAATTCTAATTGATCAGAATATTAGGATTCTGGGACTGATATGTGCAGTGAGGACACACCCTTGCCCACGCCTTTGCCCTCCTTGCAACCCCCCCCCCCCCCCCCCCCACACACACACACACACACACACTAGACCTCTAACAACACTAAGATATAGGCTACCAACCATTTTACTCGAGTCTCACATGATGTAGACCTAATTGGGATCAGAATATTAGGATTCCAGGACTGAAATATGGTACAAGGAAGCCAGTAAGTAAGTCCATGGGTCCAAATTTGGATTCTGCATAGTGGAACATGTATGATTTGACACCAAGTTCATCCAAATAGGACAAGTCTATGGGATAATATTGCAAAATGCAATATTACTGTATTTTCAATGGTGGCCATCTTGAAAAATGGCCGCCATCTTGAATTTTCATTTGGCCAGACGGAAATATCAAAAGCCAAACTTCTAAGGAGTATGTGTGCCAATTTTGCTGCTTTTATCCGCAAGTGAAGATTATTACAGTTATCTGCTCAGCTAGAGGGAAAAGCAGAACAGAAGCTCAAAAATGTGAAGTGTTTCGAAGTAGAGCTGTTAAAATATAGAGCTGTTTAACTGTAGAGTTGTTTATATGTGGAGCTGTAAAATATAGATTTGCATCTAAGTAGAGCTGTTAACATGTAAAGGTGTTAAAATGTATTCTTCTAGGATTTGGGTTGACTGTCGTTTGAGCAGGAAAGTGAGAAGTGAGTTTAATCAGGTACCTGGTGGTATTACATTTTTTTTATGTTTAAAACTCTTAGGTGCACTTTAATTTTTTACCTTTTTGTTTTATGCTTCGTCAGTCTTCTACGCCGACATACATTTAGTTGGTAATTTGACATGTATTTGGGTATTTAGGTTAAGAGTTAAGGTTTAGAGAACAGTGGTGTCTTCTTATTGGGTTTAGTATTAAACCCCCTGCCCCTTTTGTTAGGTTGTGCCACACGGAAACTAAAAATCAGATTTCGTGTTATATATATTTCTTTACAATATCTCAGCTCAAACCCTAATATGCTGACAGTTTAATTCTTTTCTTCACAGGGACAGGATCGATCCCTTTGTCTTTAAGTTCCAGTTCAAGAATGTGGAATACTCATCAGGTCGCAATAAGACGTTCTTGTGTTACCTGGTGGACAGAGGAAACACACCTGATGGGCTGCTAAGAGGATATCTGGAGGATGAACACACTGGACCTCATGTGGAGGAGGCTTTCTTCACCCAATGTCTTCCACACTATGACCCTGCCGTCAAATACACTGTAACCTGGTACTGAGCTCCATCACTGCCTGACAAATTTAGGACTTAAAGGGCAGATAATTATTTTTTTACTAAATAACAAATAAAGTTAAAATATCAATCTCATTTCCGAAACGAGTGAATTCATCAGACTTTTCAAACACAGATATATAACATTTATTGGCATCTAATTTTTTTAATAATTTATAGCAAGAAATCAAAAGGGGTGGGGCCTATCAGAGCTGTCACTAAAAAAGAGGTGGGGCAAACCAGATGACCAGAACGCAGCCTAAACAAAACCTCTGATGTCTAACACAGATCCCATAAGTGAGATTCTTCCAATAGCTGCCAAACATTTGAACAACTTTACACACCACTGCAGAGGAGTCTAACAAGTAGCTAACAATCCACTAACATCCACACAACTCTTAGTTAATGTTCATGAAACACTGTGCCAAGCCTGAGCTAACTCTGAGCTAAAATCTACATAACTCTGAGCTAACACTGAGCTAATGTCCATGCAACACTGAGCTAAGCCTGAGCTAACTCCAAGCTTACTCTCAGCTAACTCTGAGCTAACCCTGGCTAACTCTGAGCAAACCCTAAGCTAACTCTGAACTATTCCTAACCTTAACTCTGAGCAAACCTTCCTGAGTCCCCATTATAAATTAGTCTGACTGTCACTTATTAAAATAAATATTGAGGCTTTTTTTTCTGTCTCTGTTGGATCAACGGGACATCATTTATTGCAGGATGGTGAAAAGTTCTTTTCAACCTTTGAACAAATTGTATCACTTCATTCAAGGGAGACAGCTCCAGGACACATCTCTGTCTCTGTACCAAAAAACTGTACTGGCCTATTAAAAAACTATCTGATCTCTTCAATGTGTCATCTATCACACACCCTCACAGTCATGGCCTAATTTGCAAGTTCCCATCGTTCACACAAAGCTGCAAAATTTTAGTTTCTGCTTCAAACAATTACAAATTAACTTGTAAAAGATTTTAAGATGTCTACACTTAATCGGCTGACACAATTCTCCGTTTTAATTTAGTGTTTAATCAATTTTAGCTATTTTTGCTTTTAATATTTGCACTGCTCCTACTGTTCTTAATTTTTTTTTACATTTTTAAATTTCATTTTTAACTCTTGCTCTCTTACCACTTAATCTATGAACAGCACTTTTTATTTGTTTCTTTTTTTAATGCTGCCCTCCAACCTCCATTAATATTTGTATCTGTTTTATTGTCTGCACCATTACAAACAAGGTCTACACCACACTGTGTTTTTCAAGGATTTATAATAAATAAATTAATGAATAATAACCTTTCATATATATATTTATACTCTTGTTCATTTTTTTATATACCTTTTGTACCTTTATTTGTACCCTTATGTAAATCTAGTACCATGTTGCACCTGTTCATTCTTTTTAGTAGTGACAGATCTGAATCAGACGAACCTTTGTCTCTCCATGCTCAGGTACGTGTCTTCCAGTCCGTGTTCTGCGTGTGCAGCAAAAATCGCCGAGGTATTAAAGGTGAGGAAAAACATCAAAATGACTGTTTTTGCTGCTCGCCTGTTTGAGTGGGAGGAGTCTGAAATTCAGGATGGGCTGAAGATGCTGCAAGCTGCTGGCTGTAAGCTGAGGGTGATGAAACCTCTGGACTTCTCCTACACCTGGGACACGTTTGTGGAGCACGAGGACCAACCGCTGAACCTGTGGGAGGACTGCAAAGACAACTATGAATACTACCATGAAAAACTGTCTGACATCCTCCAGTGAGCTTGGTGAGGTCTTTATTATTAACCTTATAACTTTATGAACACAGTGAGATCCAAACTATATTACAACATTCAAGAGTGATGAACAGAGACCACAGCTCAGAGTGATCTGATCTGTATTGTTTACCAGTGTGTTGTTGGTTCTTGTTTCCAGTATGCTGTCTGTACTGGTTTCCAGTATGTAGTCTGTAATGGTTTCCTGTATTGGACTGAGTCAGGCTTCCAGTTTCTTTTTTCTAGTCTGTAGTCTGTAGTCTGTAGTCTGTGCTGGTGTTAAAACGGTCAAAGGCCAGTGCTGCTCTTTGGTCTGACATCAGGCAGCTGCTGAGAGAGTCTGCTGAGATTCATTAGTTAGGGTGACCATACGTCCTCTTTTACCTGGACATGTCCTCTTTTGGGGGGCTGTCCAGCCTGTCCGAGGGGAGTTTATAAAATCCTTCAATTGGGACTGTGTGTCTGTTTGTTGTAACTATTTATTGCTGCCATTCTTGGTCAGGTCTCCCTTGCAAATGAGATCCTCAGATCTCAAAGGGACAAACCTGGTTAAATAAAGGTTAAATAAAATGTCTGGGATTTTGTTCTTCCATAGCTTTGAGTTTGTGTAGCACGTACTTCTTCTTCACATCACAGACAATTGTATTTACTATCTATTTCAATGGTTATTTAGGAACACACTCTTAGACGCCAAACCCCGGAATGTATATCATTCATTATAAAACAGTGCAGCGCAGTTGCCTCTGCTGCTCTGCTCCTCAGCTCAGTTATGTGTTTGTTATGTCATAATAATGCATCTCTGCCCTCCATACTCCAGACTCCAGCCAATGAAAACACAACGTGTAGGGGGACGACGACGAGGTGTAAAACAGCTCGTTACAACATGCATTGTACGTTTAATTAAGTCATAAATTTTCCCCCAATAAGAAGGATCTGATGGAAAAGACTGCTGAGCCAGATGCAATCAAAAGCTTTCCTGAGATCAACTGAGCAAGTCCCTTGTTCTTTCGGTGAACATGATTTTGGACCTCTGTATGGACAGGAAATGTGTAGTCTGATGTTCTGGGCGTGAGCCGGTTTGGGAGTAACTGAGTATTGAGCCTTCAGCCAGGTAGGACTGTACTCTTGAACTCAGCATACTCCAAGCTAGTTTTCCTACAGTGGAACAGACTCCCCTAATGTTATCACATTCAGATGATCTCCATTTTTAAACCAGGAGTCATCCGATCCTTTTTCCAAGCTTCAGGATAAACTCCACTTTTTCATACTAAATTAAATCATTTTAGTATGACAGTTTACTGCTGCCATATTTTGACGTTCCGGTCCTAATGCCATCGCGTCACAAGCCTTAACACTTTTAAAAACAGTTTTTCTTGAAGCTCTTCAATTGTAATGGGACCATTTAAAGAATTTTGGACGTGTAGTTTTCTGTCTTTTTAGCTGGAAGCTATCTTTGTTGAGATAGTCTACCTCACATGCAGTAGTTTTGATCAGCTGGAGTTCAGGGACAGTTAATGTTAGCTTGTTAGCTAACCGTCTCTGCAGTTGTATCTCAGTCTTCTTGTTTTTCTTCATCTTTTTTTGACATAAATTTCCTTTTTTTAACTTTCAAAGAGATACTGGGGTCACAGTCTTCTTTTTCAGTGGATATCCTGGCCACTTTATCATAAAAACACTTCAAGCCAACAAACATAACTTCAAAGTGCATCTCGAGGTCTGTATTTTAGCTGCCATGAGGTGAAGGTCCACCACCTGTGCCTCTGGCCTGGGTGATCTGGTGGAGTTGGGCTTTGTGTTCAGTGGGGGTTAGGAAGAAGAGGAGAGGTTCAGGGTTTGAGTTGTAGGTAAAGGCTGTTCTTCAGTGGTGTGTAGGGGGGCACCATTCAGCAGTAGAGGAGAGGAGGTTTGTGGACAGGAGCATGTGCACAGCTGGGTTGGGATTTATGGCCGCTCTTCTAGAGTGTCTCCTTCACCCCTTGTAGCTCTCTACTGAAGCTTAAGTACCTGATTACTGCATCTTCCTTTGTTTTCAGAGCCTGGGCTGGTAGGGTGGCATTCTCCTCCTCTAGCTACAGTTTGATTAAGTGGTCTGAGTCTCCTCTGTGTCTAAAGTCTAATCGGACTCTCTGTCTGTCTGTCTCTCAGGACTCCAGATTGATGCTGTGGTCGTTGTATCGCCAGTATTTTCTCTTTAGATCTTTACTTAACCCCGGAGGACATGTGTGGATGGATTAGTCTTCATCACCATCATCACCATCATCATCATCTCTGTCGTCATCACTGTCATCATCACTGTTGTTGTCACCATTGTTATTTTTTTTCAGGTTCAATTAAAGTCAAAAATCATACCAATCAATAAACCATTAACATAGTAAAGTCAGTATAATCATTACCTTAATAGTATTAATAGTCAGTCTGGTTTATGGTGATGATAGATTTTAAAATCTTTCCTCTTTTATTTAATAAATTTGATCTGAACTTCCATTGGACTCAAAGTTCAGCTTCACATTGTGCTTGATGCTTCTTGCCTCTATTTTTAGTTTGTTTATAGATTTTTGTTTGCAAAAATTTGAAGGCACAAAGCTTTTCATTGTTCAGAGAGTAATGACTTTTAATTTAACTTCACACAAATCTTTGATTTGTTATTTCCGGGCACTGATTATAGACCAGATAGTAAACTGTTCTTTTAGGTTTTGTCAGTTCCGTAAGTCAGTGTATGTTAGACAGCTACTTATGATGAAGGTGTTTTTAATTTGAGTTTATTGTGCTTTATTTTCAAATGTTGTGTAGTTGCAAAGATCAGACAGTGAAATGCTGTAGCTCAAAGTGAGTGGTATTAAAAAAATAAACGCAAACTTTTTATAAGATTATTTTTGTTCATTAAAAAATAAAAAAGTCCAGAATAATGAGCCTTTTTAGACTTTGATGGTTGGTCAATTATTTCAAGTCTGTGTAGCGATTTGAAATGAGCCTCACAAGGCCGCACCAAAATACTACTGTAGCGATTGGAATTTATAATAAATGTCTGAAGATTAATAATCTCAAATTATGACATTTATGCACTCGTTGAAAGGGGCACCACCCACCCTTAATGGTGGGAAAATAAAGAAAACAAAAGTTTAATTCAGAAATCAAACATCAAGTCAGTTTTAATTAATCAGTCTCATATCTTAACTCGAAATTCTAATTTCAGGGACTCCACTTCTCGAAGAACACTAACAGACAGGAACTTAGAAAAATAATTATCTGTTTATTACAGGATAAATGATGGTACAACACACATGCAATAAATGATGATAAGATAATGAGGATAAAATAATAATAGGTGAATAAATAAAGATTCTGAGTCAGGCTAGGAGCACTAAAGTTAACTAGGGCCCCGTTGGGGCACTGGCGGGCCCGAGCCGTGTCGCGCCCCCCCCCCCAACGCGCTGCCTCCCCGTCCCATTCGCGTCCTCTGGCCATCGCCCTCTCTGGTAACGCCCATCACTACAAAGACCCTTTTCCTTCATCGGCGTTTGCTGTTCTTCCTGCCAGTGCGTGTTGCTTTCACTTACACTTGCCACAGCCAGCCTCGTGAGTGCCTAGCCTATTGGATATCACTGTCACCTACACAGGACAGTCATTACCTTTCTATTAATACTTTGTTTTTTAATTTCACATTAATTTCCATATTGTATAAACGACTGGAAAAAACTTGAGCCCCTGCCCCTGTATAATCATGTACACGTCCCTGTTCTAGCTCCAAGGTGAATCTTCACTGCTCATGTTCTCCTCAGAAGCAGTCACCTCACTCCCCTCAGGTTACTGTACACATGCACCAACTGCCTGCTTCAGGTTTGGATGGAGCTTCATGGTTGTCTTTTGGAGAAATGAGCAGTCAAGTTGTGTTTGAAATTTGATTTTTTTTCAGGGGCAAAAGGAAGCCTCTGCATTCTTGTCAAATATGTAAATAGCATGTTTTTGCAGGTGCTAAAAACCAGACTCTGAGTGTGCGTGTGTGTGTGTGTCTGTGTGTGTGTGTGTGTGTGTGTGTGTGTGTGTGCGTTCAAGTCACATGACATATTTAACCGGATGTAGCTGCAAGACGGTGTGTGTGTGCGTGTGTGTGTGTGTCTGTGTGTGTGTGTGTGTGTGTGTGTGTGTGTGTGCGTTCAAGTCACATGACATATTTAACCGGATGTAGCTGCAAGACGGAGCCTCGTTGACTCTCCGTTTCAACTTATCTCAAAAGTGAGGACCTCAACCTATATACCAGTTTTTAAATTGTGTTGATAGGCCAAATAAAACCAGAGTTATGATAAATTATGTCCGCGATACTTGTTTTCTGCTTATTTTGATCACGTTCGGCGCTCGATCGCGCTGTATGAGACAGGAAAACATAGCATGCAGACATTAGCGACAGGTCTTACAGGCGGAAAAGGCTTGCCAAAGGAAAAGAAAAAAACACACCACAACATCTCTCCTATTGGTGGAAAACTTCACCACAACAACCAATCCAAAATTATATGGTGACTGATTGACAAGGGGCGGGCGCTTACGTTCTTCCTGCAATATGAGAAGGGAGGGAGGGACTCTCAGCAGGGATGCAGTCTGGGACACGTAGTTGCAAACCTAGCGACTTTGTTGTTAGATTCAATGACTTTTCAGACCCCCTAACGACTTTTTTTTTAGAAAGAAAGTGACTTTTATCGACTTCTGGAGTTTAGAGACTCTGACATGAAGCAGGCTTTCCTTACTGAGGAGTTAGCAACGCTGCTAAGGGTGCAGAGCCACACATGCGCTCCGAGCTCTGCATGGGAGACTGAAGCTGACAGAGCTGCAGCAGTTAGCAGGTTTCACCCTCAGAGACCACCAGGGGTTCATGTTGAGGCATTTTCAGTTTTTTTTTTTTTTTTTGCCACAGACACTGTCAGCACAATCTGCAGTTACACTAACAAAAATGCTGCAAAAAACAAAGAATTATGGAAAAATTACACATGGACTAACATAGAGGAGGATCTACACAAGTTTTTTACATCATGTTTTACATCATGCATCATTTACATCATGTTTTTTTGTAGTGGCATAAATAAAAAGTGACATTTGTGAGACTATACAGTGTTTTGTAAATAATTTTACAAAGAACGCCTGGGCCATTGCCTGCATTTTGATGTCAATAGAGGTAAATTACTATGTTCTTTGTTAAAAATTTGCATATGTTTTGAAGTTTACAATTTTTATTTGAAGTTTAAGTTTTAAAAACAGTTCATCACACATATTTGTGGTTTTCACAGTAAAAACGTTACTTTTTTCCACTCGGATTTTATGTTTTGTGTGTGAATTTGGGTCCAATGTGTAAATATAGTATGTCAAAATGATAAAATAACTGTAAATTGACACAGGTGAGGTTGTGCTGAAAAAAATGATACCAGGCAAGGCAAGGTAAAAATTTTGTAAGAGGAAATATAAAGGTAAAATCTAAAGTAGTCAAAAACGGCCAATAGTGACTCACAGACTCCACAGACAAGTCCCTTTGGCGCCACTCAGTGGGCAAAACTACTTTGTCTACTGTAATGTATATTTGGGTCATCTTTGGCGCCCCCTAAAACGTAAACCGTGGGGTGCAGCGTCATGATTTTTACAACTTTGAATGGCCATGGAGTGTAGATTGGCCTGAGCAAATTTGGTGTCAGTGGGACGAAAGCCTTAGGAGGAGTTAGCGAAATTCCAATGTGTGCGAATCGGCAAAAAATGCAAAATAGCCCTTTTACCGTACATTATACAGATACGCGCTCTTTGACTTTTTCGTAGATCTAATTGAGATACACATGATTGTCAATTTTTGTGTCATTTTGCCAAAGCGTACAGGCGTGACAGTCAACAATGTGTATTTTCACCTTAGGGGACAAGAAAAAATGGACTTTTTTCTCCTGCCATGGGGGGGCGCTCTTTTAGGGAGTAAAAATTCCTTCACAAATGTGTTGATGGCTGGACATTGCATCATCCTAGAAAACTTGGAGGCCAGTGAGGACAAAAATAAAAAGTTATAAGACTTTTAAAAATGTGGATTTTTGGGTTATCTTTGGCGCCCCCTAGAACGTAAACCGTGGGATGCAGCGTCATGATTTGAATAACTTTTAATGGCCATGGGGTGTAATTTGGCCTGAGCAAATGTGGTGCCGGTGGAACGAAAGCCTTCGGAGGAGTTAGCGAAATTCCAATGTGTGCGAATCGGCAAAAAATGCGGAATAACCCTTTAACCGTACATTAGACAGATACGCGCGCATTGACTTTTTTGTAGATCTTATTGAGATACATGTGTGTGTCAATTTTTGTGTCATTTTGACAAAGCGTACAGGCGTGACACTCAACAATGTGTATTTTCACCTTAGGGGACAAGAAAAAATGGACTTTTTTCTCCTGCCATGGGGGGGCGCTCTTTTGGGGAGTAAAAATTCCTTCACAAATGTGTTGATGGCTGGACATTGCATCATCCTAGAAAACTTGGAGGCCAGTGAGGGCAAAAATAAAAAGTTATAAGACTTTTAAAAATGTGGATTTTAGGGTTATCTTTGGCGCCCCCTAGAACCTAAACCGTGGGGTGCAGCGTCATGATTTGAATAACTTTTAATGGCCATGGGGTGTAGATTGGCCTGAGCAAATGTGGTGCCGGTGGAACGAAAGCCTTCGGAGGAGTTAGCGAAATTCCAATGTGTGCGGATCGGCAAAAAATGCAAAATAACCCTTTAACCGTACATTTGACAGATACGCCCGCACTGACTTTTTTGTAGATCTTATTGAGATACATGTGTGTGTCAATTTTTGTGTCATTTTGACAAAGCGTACAGGCGTGACAGTCAATAGTGTGAATTTTCACCTTAGGGGGCGCTATGGAGCCATTTTGCATTTTCTTGTTTGGGCGACTTCGGAATATCAAATTTTTCACCAGGCCCGGTCGTCCTGCCAAATTTCCTGAGTTTTCGCCAGTGGGAAGTGGGCCATTTTCCAGTTCAAAGGGGAGGAAAAAGAAAAAAGAAACAAAGAAAAACCACTTGGGGAATAATAGGGCTCTCGCAGCTGCTTAGCAGCTACGCTCGGGCCCTAATGATAGTGAGTGAATATGCGCTAACATATTAACCTACACTAACTTTGGTGTCGAGATAAACTCGGATGTGGATTTGGAGGAATCTAAGATTACCAGAATAAGTGGATATCTGAGCTATGAACGCAGGGGACAGCACCAGCCCTCTTTGGAGCTCTGGAGGTTTGCATACTTAAGTGAGACTGGTCCTTGGAGAAGATGGAGCAGGTTCCGAAGGTCCGGGCTACTGGCGGTTCGAGCGGTTCAGCTCAGAAGACGACTGAAGTCAGCCGAAGGATGAGCCAGGAGTTGCAGCACTCGGGCCCGAAGCAAAGCCAGCGCCTGTGGATCCTGTGGATGCTCGTTTGGGTACTTCTTTGGTCTCACTCAAAAACTCTGGCACAGAGGATGACCTGGGCCTGCTGGGTTGCGTTCAAAGGTGACTTTGAGATCACGCAGAAAACTCAGAAAAACGAGACTCGAGCAGAGAAAACTTTCAAAAATGGCTTCGCGAAATTAAAGAAAAATCAATCAAAGGCTTAATCTTGAATTGCTATGCGTACAAAAAGTTGAAGTTTCAAAACTTGAACTAAGACGATGTTAAAGAAAAATCAACGTGAATCAACACGTGGCGTAAAACTTAGAAGACTAAGAAAAAGTTCAAAGAGAAAACAAAGAAAAAGAGAGAAGAGGAAGGGTACAAGAGTACGGGGCATAAGAAAGTGGACAAGAGAGTGAGCAACCCCACTTCACTGGTTTTATCTTCTCACACTGGGAGTGTTTCCGGGG